AGATGATCTGTCTAGGTCCCTTCTGACTCATTGATTCTGTGACTCTATGAACAAAGGGTACTGAAGCTCATAGGTATGAAGCAACTAATATGTCTGCATGATGCTGTAGTGATGCAGGTGTAGCAAAATCTCTCCAGTTGTATTCAGAGTCAAAATTGAGGTGGTTTAACTAACATGTACAGCTACAGGATCATGCACACATCACAGATTGTAACAGCTGCTCCCCGCTCCCCTCCCTCCCTTTTAAAACTGCTGCACATATGTTTATCCATACGCTAAAATGATCCTGGCCAGAAGAAATCCAGTCAAGGGAAGAGCTATGTAGGTAGCTTCAGTGCTCAGTGCAGTACCTGTGACTTTGCACTAATCTGCAGATAACTTATTAATAAAATGCTACTTAATAATACTTAATATACCTCAGAAGAAAGCAGCTATTGAAATGATATGGATTGATATCTGAATAAATACTGGTAACCAAATAGTGAAATGAAATGTGGTGAATAACTGCCAAGTGCAAACCACTTTGGTTTAAATAGAGGTTAGAACTTTCATTAACTAGATTAATAAACTCCAGAAGAATTATTTCCATGTTGTATGGCAATAACTCTTGTCCAGTGCGTTCACCTTTCATACCATATTAATGATCTTATTCATCGAATGAATGTATGAGTTTGAGGGATCAAGGAGGGGCAGTTGAATTACGGAAGATTCATTGAGAGATGTGCGTATGTCACTGAAGGCGAGGGAGGTTTTGGTAGATAGCTATGTGAGACAGAGCGACTAGGAGTGATGACATGTATCTGAAGATTTGAAGCTGTAAAATTCAGGCAGCCACACAGAGGACCCAGGATATAAGCATTGGCATTTATGTCCAGCGCTCCAACGGACTATGGAAGCCGTCCCCTGAATTCATGTTCAGTTAAATTCTTTCACGTGCCTCAAATTTCAGACCAGTTTCTTTCTCCTGCTTTGCATTACGTCTGAGGGTTGCATTCTTCTGTGTAGTAGTTCAGTATAAAGATGAATATAAAGCTCTTCTGTCAGATACACTCGCATCCTGATTACAGAAGGCTGCTTTGGTACTTGTTTTGTATGAGGGTGGGTTGTTGTAAAGTGCTCTTAGAATTGTGGCATTTGAGAGTTTCTGCCGTTTTGTGAAGTTGCTCAAACTTCCTTGTTTTCATTCAACAACAAGACTCTACTCTTTGCTTATTTCTAGCCTGCAAACATCCTCTTGGATGAGCACGGACACGTAAGAATATCAGATCTTGGTCTCGCCTGTGATTTTTCCAAAAAGAAGCCGCATGCTAGTGTGTAAGTATCCCCTTCTCATGGCTGTGCCCGGTTCTGCCGTGAATCCTTTACACTTCTTGAAGTTTTCCAAGGAGCATTCCTGCATTGGCTTGGAGATGGGCTAGATGACCTAATAGTTTTCTTCTGTCTCCACTCTCTACAATCCTGCGCAGTTGGAGCAGCTGATGTGTAGGCACAGGCTGGAGGATGACACATTATTTCATGATGATTCATTGTTCAGAGAAAATAAGCACCCTGTTTAATTTGAAGTACCAGATTGTTTTAATTATCGTAAATGATGGCCTTTCTGAAACAGACTAAAATTCAGGGTTTGTTGTGCTCTGGTGTACTTGTAGGTTTGTTGTTTTTCTGCTAGGGCTTGGGCCGGATTTTGCTTGTTTCTACCTACTTCAGAGGTACAATTGAAATCTTAGTTTGTCATGTCATGCAAAATTGCTGTATTTTGTTTGACTTGTTATACTTTTAAAGTCACATTCATCTTTGGTGTGCCTTAAGTAGGGTAGCCAAAAAAGGATGAATTTAGCCCGTTCCAAATCATTTGGCACTTGCTGCCTTCTAGGAATGAGCAGCAAAGCTTCCATACCAGCTGCCTCCAACCTTTGCCTTAGGGTAGAAGTGTGCACAGGCAGGGGAGGCACGTAGAAAAGAAATGGTAGAGCAGAATTCAGTGTTATGGGCCTGACATCTGGGTTGTGAGTTAGTCTTGCAGGGGCCAGGGCTGGGGCGGACTGAAGGCGTATGTAGCTTACCTCCTCTTCCAGCTCCTTGAAGCCTCATTATAGGGGGAAGCGTAGCAACCGCTAACCCCTAAAAAAGAAGGCTCCATGGTTTCACACAAACTAGAAACCTAAGTGGCTGAAATGGAAACAATTTAAAATGTCTCCTAGAGTTCATGCCATACTACTTTAACCCTCTTGCTGAGATAGTGCAGGGTTTCATAAGATGTTAGATGTGTTTTGTAATTGAGATGCTGTTGGCGTTTCCCCCCTTCAGTGGTACCCACGGGTACATGGCTCCAGAGGTGCTCCAGAAGGGAACAGCGTACGACAGCAGTGCGGACTGGTTCTCCTTGGGCTGCATGCTTTTCAAACTTCTGAGAGGGTAAGTGCAATCTTTTGCCCTTTTTAGCTTTGATGTCTTTATGTTCAGTCTTTAAAATTAGTAGTGTAGATGTGCTGCTTATTTAAATCTGTCTTACTGCTGTCCCTCCTACTTATTCCACCTCTGCACATAGGAATAAAAGGGGTTTTTTCAGTTCTGGGCGCCTTCTCCTTTATAATGTTTCTGCCTT